TATGTATATATATATATGTATATATATATATACATATATATATATATATATATATATATATATATATATATATATATATATATTTTAAAAAATTTTAAAAATAAATTTAATAAAAAAATAAAAAAAATTTAAATTAAAAACATGTTTTTTCTATCTTAACTAAGGGTGAAAATTTTCGACTCAACATGACTCAAACTCGATACGAAAATAAACAAGTCAACTTGTAACTCGACACGACATAATTAGTTAAATGAGTTAAGTTAGGTTCGACTAATATTCGACACAAACCCGTAATGACTCAACACGAATTTAATACGACACGTCTCGATTGTCATCTCTAATCTTAGCCAGCACAAAAAAAAAATAGTTATTTTTATTTTTCATTCATTCAACCAAATACAAAGGAAGGAAAGTGTATCCTTCCTACTTTCCATCCATCTCTCCTACTTTCCATCTTTCTTACTTTTCATCCTACTTACCAAACGGAGCACAAGAGAAAACAAAAGTTTGACTCCATTCAAAATCTTTGGCACAAGAAAAAAGGGTTGATTTGTATCATATTGATTTGGTTCTACTTTCACTAAAAAAAAAGAAAAAGATGAGGTTTCTCTCGTTTTTGGCATAGCGGGCCTCCAGTGGGAGACCCGCACAATAGGCTATTAGCTCAACATTAAAGTGCGCCCATGATAATTATGTCATTGTTCTTGGACTAATGAAAAAACTCATTTTCGTTGTGAGATTACCAAATGAAAGGTGGGTCATAACTTTGGAGAGCTTTAAGCTTCTTTAGGTTGCTTTATCTAGATTCTGTTATTAATTACTTGTGTATTGCATATGTGATGTTTGAAAGGATTGCCCCTTGTTTAATAGATTAAGTTAGTCGGTGTGAGAGAGGGTATATAAGTGCTATTGTATAAACTAAATTACACTTGCGTATTTAAGACTCAACCATTTGGGTTATTTACACTTGAAGGATGTTAACATGGAATTTTTTGGGTTATGTCCACTCCAAAAGTTTGACAATATTTTTTTGAGTGAAATCCTCTTACTAGTCCACATGTACGACGTAACCGTTGTGTCAGTGGTTGGCTCCTTGTTGAGTGGCCTCGAACAGTGCATTTATTAAGTTTAAAGATAGTTGCTCGATATCAAAATTGTAATGATAACCCTTTTCGGGGGCTAAACATTTCATGAAGCATGCTCAACATTTAACGAAGAGCACTGACCATTCAATAAGACACCTCTTGGGGACCA